ACAACTTGAACTGCTCTGCTATGCTTTTAGCTTGTTCTGCCTTGAAACTTGTAAGCTGAGAACAGTCTGTAATATTTGCTCCAAATTTTACCTTTCATCTTTTGTTCTGCATTTCACTCTGCAGGTACAAGCCTTTTTGTTGGTAGTGGTATATTTTTTTGTTCTGAGAGCTTATTTTAGCCATTCTGCAAAAGAAGGAATGCTAGCAAAATATTCTCTTAATTTTCCTTCACCTAAGAATGTCTTCATTTCCTCTCCTTTCCTGAAGGATAATTTCACTAGTAGAAGCTTCAATGTCAACAGTTCTTTTCTTTTAGCTTTTAAAAATATCACCTCTTCTTCTGGCCCCCATGGTTTTTGAGGGGCACCCACTTAATTCAAAACTTTTTTCCTTTTTACATAATGTAGCTTTTACCCCTGGCTCTTAAAAAGTTTTTCCTTGGGTCTTTATTTAAGATGTTAAGTTATAGTGTATTTAGATGTGAATTTCCTTTGGTATATCCTACTTTTGCTCAGGTCCTGAATCTGTAAGTTTGTGTATTTTGCCAAATTTTAAATTTTCATCCATCATTTTCCTCTCTACTTTTTCAATCCCATGTGTTTATCCTTTCTTCTAGCTACAAATTTCGATCATTTATTATTGTCCTACACATTCTTGTGGATTGACTTAGTTCTCTTGTATTTGTATGTGTGTTAGATTGCAAACTCAGTACATTCTGCAGACCTATATTCAAGCCCACCAATTCTATCATTTGTTAGCAAAACTACTGCTGAGAACATCAAGTGAGATTTACTTTCTAAGTTTCAATTGCTATGTTTTTAGTTCTATAATTTCTACTAAATACTTTCATATAGCTTCTCTTACTTTTCTGGGATTTTCTTTTTTTGTTTCAAGTGGGTTTATCATTGATTTTTGAAGCATTGTTATAATGATGGCTTTAAAATTCATATCAAATGATTCCAATATCTAACTCCTGTTGCTATTGGCATCCATTGGTTATCTTTTCTTACTCAGATTGTGCATGGTTTTTTTTTTCTGGTTTTTGTTATAATAAATTTTTAAAAATTTTGTCATGGATATTTTAGCTATTAGGTAAGGAGCGGGTTGATCCTATTTAAGCTTTCTGTTTTAGCAGGGAGTCATCCTGTCTGTGCTTTGTACATGGGTTTTGATCTACTTTTGACAGCTTTGGTTCCAATGGCAGCTTGACTTTTCAAGCCTTGCAGTGCTGTTCTGGTCTGCTTTGTTCCACGGGTGTTGCTAAGGCTCCTGCTCACTTCCTCCTGATGTGATCCAAGGACAGGAGAGCTGTTTGCCCTCAGATGCCTGAGAAACAATTATTTTAATTTCAATGTAGTCAAAGAGAACAAAGTTCTATCTTATCTCAGTGTATTTGTGTGACAATTTACCAATAGGTTATATTCTTCTCCATATGTTCTTGAAAAGCTTTCTTTACATTTTTCTCTTAACATTTTTGATTTTAGATACTACCAAGTTGCTTTTTAAATCATGATTTTAAAGATTCATTTCATCAATTTAAAATAAGTTATTGATGAAATTTTGTATCAATTTTTACCATACAATTTAACATAGTACTAGAAGATCTAGTCACTGAAATAAGACAAGAAAACACATTAGAAAGAAAAAAAAACTGTCTATATTTGCAGATGACTGTCAACATACCCCAAGGCATCTACAGAATCTCTCTCAGAACTAAAGTGATTTTACTAAAGTTGCAAGATATACTAATAAAGTTGCATTTCTAGAACAAAAATCAAATAGAAAGTAAAACAGCCATATCATTTGCCATTGTTCCAAAGAAAATTAATTACTTAAGTATAAATATAGTGAAATGTACACAAGATAAATATGATGGGAATTATAAAATACTGATGAATGAAGTCAAAGATCAAAATATTTGAAAATACACAGCATATTCATACTGGCGAACTCAATTTGGTAAAGATGTCATATGTTCTGAATGATGTTTTTAATCAATATCTTTAAAAATTTGAAAAAGTATAGTGTGAAGTGGTCGCTATTCTTCAGAGCTTACTATGCAGCTGTAGAAGGGAAAGCAATGTGGAACTAACACATAGACACATAAATGAACAGAAGTGAACACTCAGAAATAGATCTACACAAATATACCCAACTAATTTTTGATAAAAGAGTAAAAGCTATTTAATGCTGGACTGATAGCTTTTTGAATAAATTGTGCTGGAGCAATTAGATATTCATTGGCAGATAGATACATAGAAGAAAGAAAAGAAAGAAAGAAAGAAAGAAAGAAAGAAAGAAAGAAAGAAAGAAGAAAGATTTATCCAAAAATGATACTGGGTCTTATATTAAATTTTGCTCTAAATGACACAATAGGGCTTATATTCAAGGGATGTCCTATTTTTTTTTCAGGTAAAACAATCTACATTTATTCATGTAACAAAAACTATTATTCATATAATATTGTGTAATACTACATAGGTATTTACACATACTGTAAACTACTTAATTATAATATATATTATCATTTATTTTAAGTATTAATGTCAACAATATTATTTATATTCATTAAATATTAATATTATTTTATGATGCAATACATCCATTCTGTGTTGCAATGGATGTTCTAAATGCATCCATCTGGCTGACAGTTTTAACTGGGGCTTACTTTTTGTGGTAGGGCTTATATTATGAGCATCCTGAAAATCATGCTAGGGCTTATTTTCCAGTTAGGTCTTATTTTCAGGGAAATATGGTAGACAGGACCTCTAGTTAAACATCACACCTCACATTACAATTACCTCAAAATGGACAGTGGATTTAGTATACAAAACATAAACTATAAAACTTTTAGAAGAAACATAGAAGGAAGTTTTGGGAACTAAGAGTTGGCAAGTAGTTCTTTAGACTTGATAAGAAATGTATGATCCATAATAGGAAAAATTGGTAAATTAGATCAAGTTCATAGAATTTAAGTCTCAATGCACAAAATGTGGCAACTATTTTAATCAAATACCACATGATCACACAATTTTATACTTGTAAGAAATTGAAAACATAATTTAAATTCTACTGTGTTGATTTTATAATACTTTTATAATATATGTATGTGGATGCCATGTTTTATCCTACTACAAGTTATTAAGCTTTTCACATAATAACTTAAATACTTAAAAACCATGAGAGCTTTTATTTTGCTCTATTTTTGCTGGTTACAATAGTGAAACAGTAAGAAAATAGCAAATTTAGATTTAGTAAAAACACCTACAAAATTAGGGATTCACTAGGGAAAAATGGGAAGTTGGTTAATTAATTTGTAATATAATTAAGACATGAAAAAGGAGATCAACCTGGGGTTCTGGATGAATAGATAGCCGAATGTAGGTAATAGAAAGCCAGAATGTAGCCTGGTAAGCATAGCTCTCAAGAAGGTAGCGGTAACTCTGCTTCCTTGGCCCATGAGGATGAAAGCAGGTGACTTGATCTGCTTTACCAGTGAGGGCAATAGATGTTTGCTTTCTTATCCAAAAAAAAGAAAACTTGATGTCTGTAAAAAAGTGAAACAGCTCATTAAAGTAAAACTTATAAGCACCAGGATACTAAAATCCCATGCTGTATTAAATGTTAAAGAACTAATAGTAGCAACACAGGCCAAATAAGAATTGTTTTACGGTGCTTGGAAGAAACATGCCTTTATTACCGATAACCATTAACATTACCCCTAGGCTCTCAGTAACCCTAACTGATGTCAGACTTGGAAAATGGCAGAAATGGAAGGAAATAGCCTTTGCTTTAGGATTTGCGTAAACTATGTTTTTACCAGCCTGGCTATCTTGTTCTTTTCCAGGTGGGGAAACAAAATGAATAATCAGACTAAGGAGGCTGATATACTTTGGGAAGATGATATAGGTACAAGGGCCTCTCTGGCTTGAAAAGGAAGGTGCATTTACATGTCTAAACAGGAGAAAGATCCACTTGAGGAGAAATGTGGGTTTCTGGTGCCACATTTAGAATCATAGGACAAACTGGTAACTAACTTGCTTAGTTACCAATTTGAGACAGAGCTAACCTGAAAGGTTTTCATTTTCTTTTGACCCAAACCTGGAGCAATTTCCAACTAAAAGACAGGAAAAAGAGAAAAATTGCTTAGAAGGGAAGAAAGGTCCATGTCTTGTGGGTGTCCTGAAGCAGGCATTGTACCCGGTATGTTGTGCTCTGCTGCTAAACGTAAAGCCACAGAGGCTAAGGTCACAATGCAAAGTGCAGCTATGTCCTGGGAAAGGGTATTTCCAACACACACCACCAGTGAAGGACAATCGGTCAGAATATGGGGAAAATTCCTAGAAATCAGTAAGAAAAGGGGCAAATTAATTTTTAAAATGGGACAAGACTCATGGTTTCCTTCAGAGGAGAAGAAAATGAGGAATGGCTGGCCTGGACCTGATGGGAAAGGCTGGGTGGAAAGGCTGGTTGGAGTGGATGGCAAGATCCAAGTATCTGCATCAGTGTCACAGAACTGGAGCAGAACCACACCCACCTAGAGTGCACAGGGACAACACGGTTCTGTGTGGGCAAAAGTACTTGCCTGAAAGCTGGGCTGGGCAACTGCTGCAGCGAGGGAGGAAGGGTGCGCTTCTCAACTCCCAGGCAGGCCTTTCCTAAGGCCACTGCAGCAGGAACACTGTGACAGGATCTAAATGATGACACACTGGGGAAATGATCGCATAGACACGGCACGGCCCAATTCCTGACTCAGGCAATCTGACTCCTGTCAATGCCATAAGCAATTCTGCCCGCTCTTTTCCCAATAGTGAGGGTTAGCACAAACACATTCCCCAAGTCAGAACTTAGCACTGTAAATATGGGGAGCAGAGAGTAGGATTGGAGATGTGATCTACTGCACTACCTAATCTTTTAACATATATCCCAAACGCTGAAAGATTATGGAGAGGAATATAAACGTTAAGGTCATGAAATGTGCTTTCTTAGAACACCAAAATTCATTTTCCCAAGACAAAACTTTATTTGAGGCATCAAGCAAGATACTGAAAAAGCTGAGTCATGCACAATAATGTCCTTAATTCCATAATAGTGCAAAAGCAGATACGCTGCCTGCTAAAAGGGTATATGGTGAGCAAAGAGGAAAAGAAGATATGCTTTTACACATAACCCCATCCATATAGTGCTTAAGAGTCTCAATTAAGTTTCATTTCTTCTTCCTTAAAAGACATGTAAGGTTTACTTGGGGAAACTAAAGACTTGAACTCTTCTTTTGAGGATAGAGTTTCTCCTCATAGCTATTTACGAAATAACGCAGCTGCCTTTTTCTTTAAAGGGATTCTTGTCTTCTGGAATTCCCTTCACCAAAGGATCTTCCCCAGAACGCTCTTCAATATAGTTCTTTATTTCTTCAGAACATTTAGACACCTGAAGTACAGAAGAAAAAAGAAAAGAATGCAGTACGTCAGGCATGCTCAAACTGTCAGAATCTTTTTGTGAAATTATTATAATTGTGTAAATCAGCTTTAAATTTTTAAAAAATTGATATATGTATATTATTTGTGTCCTGCATGCTAATAATTTTATTCTATTCCACTTCTACATAAAATACAATCTATATAAAGTACATTTCTTATTATTGGTCAAAGTTAGAAAAGTTTGAATGTCACTGTATTCAATAGATCATTCCCAGAGATATCTATTCACTGTCATACTTTTTCCTTCCTCTGTTAAAATACAATTATGACATGTTTAGCACATTTTTAGAAACTAAAACATATTCCACTTTCATTTTTTCATGCTAAGGAGTAGGCTTGGAAGCAGACAATCCCCAAGTGTTTGGGGGAGGGTGTACGTGATAATTCTCACTGAGGAGTATGTGCCAAGTTCTGGAATTTCACATTGATAGAAGCATAGGCAAAAGCCAGACTCTGGAAAGGCTGGAGTTGCCCAAATACCTCCCTGTCTGGCTCTGCTCAAAGTTCCCTCCTGACAGATTATGGCAATGATCAGAGACTTACTAGGCTTCTCTGAGATTCTTGTGTTTATATAATCAGTTTAAATGTTTTCTACAATGCAAAAAGGATTGAATAATTTTTTGAAAAAAAATCCTTAAAAGACAAGAGTGTGTTAAAAAGAAAAGAATAACTAGGAAAGAGAAAAAAGAAAGATTAGTATCTTAATACTCATTAATTACATTAGAAGTAAAAATTATAGTTCTAGTAAACTGCAATAGAGGCACACTAAAAGTGGACAAATGCTACCATTGAATTTGTAATCTAGATTGGTGGCCTCTAACTGTGTTAATGGTTATCACTAAAACATGTTTGCATATGTATCCCAAAATGTGCATGACAGTTACTTATAAATAAATTCAGAGACCACAAACTGGTAATAATAAAGGGATGAAATTTAAAACTAAACAAAAATAGAAATTTCATTATTTCATTCACATAGTTTAAAGGGCAATTCCTTGTACAGTAGAGTGGAGGCCTCACTGATCTAAAGCTTGTAATCCCAGCACTGTGGAAGGCTGAGGCAGGAGGGATTGAAAGCTCAAGTGTCACCTGGACCACTTAGTGAGAACCTGTCTCCAAATTTTAAAAAAATTAAAGAGGTGTTAGGGGGCTAGAGCTGTAGCTCTAGGTGAAGGCCATAGGTCTAATACCCAGTATCACAAAAAACTAAAATTAAATAAATTAAGTTTAAAAATAGGTGATGTCCTTATATCATTTAAAATACTGTAAAATAAAACCTCTTCAAGGATCATTCTTTGGGATAATGTTTGCTCTCAGTTGTTTGCTGATACTGATAGTGTGTGCATTTTAAATGAATTCAAAACTGATGGAGCTTGTATCCACTAGCTCCAGGGAAATTTCTAGGTAAGATTCACATTCCCCATATTGTATTTATTCTAACGGGGCCTTTTTCATTCGGTTTCTGAAGAGATCATCATCTTCAAAAGTGAAAAAGTGCCCGAGACATCTTTTCTTTCATGATCAAGAGGATATATTTGATTGGCTATTACTTAGCTGAAGTCAGATACAACCTGTGAATTTGTCTCCTTGGCCTAAGCAGGGTACGTAGTTCACATGTTAACACCTGAGTGATGGAATTGTGTTTCTAAGTGCCTGTCCCATCGCTCCGTGGTCCTAAGTGAGGAACTAGCCAGCCTTTTGGTGACTCAGGGTTTTCATTCTTAAAACAAGGTGGAGGAACAGTCTCTAAAGAATTGCAAGACTTGCCCCACACTAATACTCTACCATTCACAGTCCATAATAAAATGTGTTTGAAAATTATGAAGACTTAGATACCTCTTCCTGTGTCAGCAAGAATAACCCTGAAGTGTCTTCTCTCTCTGGCACACACCAGGGGTATCAGGCACTGGGAAGAAAATGCTGCAGGGCCTGTTCTAAGGGGCAAGGCTGCTGGCAGGGAGAAACTGCTAATGAAAGATGTTTGGTTTCTGTGATGTCACTTGCATCCAGGACCCTGCCCAATATCTAACTTGAAACTTTAAAAAAATAAAAGACTTGTCTCTTTTTATCCCCTGTAAGTTCTGCACAGAGGTATCAGATTTTAAGATATTCCAGCTTTGTACCAGCAATGCATTACTTTAGTTTATGCAACTCTGGTGACTATAAAATCCCTAAAGCTCATTGTGTGAAAAAAAAAAATCTAAGAGGGTGACATTTGCTTTATTGCCATTTCTTCCACTGGCAAAATGAGTTGCCTTCAAGAAACAGGCTTATCAATTGGGTCTTGTAACTGTTTATTCCTTTGAACACACAGATTCTTTTAAAGTTACAAAACTCTCAACATGGAAAGAAAAGACAACATCTATGAAAAGCTAGGATTTGGAATTAGGAAGTAGAAAGCTAAATCTGAGAAAACAAATGTGCAAAGAAGTAAAACTTAAAAAAATAAATGATCCTGCAGTCATCACTCAAGAAGACTGATTCCTGTCATTAACAGAACCACAGCAAGAAAGCAAAGGAGCATATATGCAATCATTGCTTCATTTTTGTTTCTCTTCTTTTTTCAAGTATTAAACTGTAAATAGAATCAGTTCATGGGGGGGGGTTCCTTTTAAAAAACATCTCTTCAAAAACCTTTTCCCAAACTAAAGTGTGCTAGACTGTGTAACAAGTGTCCTAGTAAAAACTCTAGAAATTGAAGTAAAAATTACAAAACCTCCATCAAGTTTCAGTGCAGACTTCTGAATACTGGGACTTAATACAGTGAAACTGTAACCCCTATCAGTGATTTCTAAAAGTTTTTAATTGCAACCATATTCACCTCGGTGTAGACATAATTATTTATTTATAAATATGAATTTATTATGCATACATATAAAACACAAGGTGGATAATTAATATAAAGGGATGAAATTTACAAATAAATAAAAATAGAAATTCTAACATTTTGCACACAGGCTCCAAGGAACTGTATTCACCCATCCCTGAAGACTACTGGTAAAATTCAAAGCTCTGCAAACTTTAAAATGTGGTTTTAGAAAAATTCTTTCAAGGCCAAAGTAGCCATTTGCCTTTTTCCTACAGCTCAGTTTTGAAGACCAGCTGAATAGTACAAGGCAGGGCTTCCTGCCTATTCTCCACTTCGCGGTCTTTCACTGTTAGGCCTTGTGCTTTCCATTCCTATCAGACTGTCCTATGATTTTCCTCCTGTGATTTCCCAGGTACTGGCATGCCCCAGGCACTGCCAAAGCCTTCGTTCGAGAAAAGCTACACAAAAACAAAGCTCTCCTCTGGCTGTAACTACCCAGGCCGAGCTGGCCGCGGTCCATTTCACAGAGGGACAGGTTCTGGAGCAGTCTCCTTACCTGCTGTCTCTGCAACTTTACTTCCTTACGGAGTTGCTCAACTTCCATCTTCAGTTTTTCCTTCTCTGGCAAATCTTCGATGTGCAGGGCTGGCATCCTTCTTTGCCCCAGAACTGGTCCGGGCAGGTCCCGCAGTGAAGTCGGTGGGAGCGCGGAGAGCCTCCAGAGGTGACTGGTCAGGCCACCCCAGAGGGTCAGGCAGGACGTGACGGCCGGCTCCCCCGGGGCTCGGCTTCCTCCGGACTTCTGCTCACGCCAGCACGGCCCAGAGCCCAGAGCCCGAGATCTCGGACCCCTGGGCTTCTTCTCCGTTCCCGGAGCCCGGGAGGCCTGCTCGGGGCTGGGGCAAGGTGAAGGTGCAGACGCCCCACCGCAGGGTGAGGCTGCGGCCAGGCCAGGGCGGACCACTAAGTTGTTTTTTGGGTTTTTTTTCCAAGTCACATCCGGGTTTTGTTTGTGCAACTAGGAAAGGAGGACATTATCCAGCAGGAAATAACAGCCCCTCACCTTCCCAAAAGTTGTAAAAATTGGCAGTCTGTGAGTTTTTCATCTATACAGTGAGAAAGCTGGAGACTTGGGATAAACGCCTTGGAAAGTGAAAGGCAGCTGCACTCTGGAATTAACCCCCAGCACCCTGCTGATGTTTACCCATTCAGGCCTGGAAGGGATTTTATAAAATTTGGGAGGAAGGAGAAGGGGATTCGGGATAGGAACAGTGTTTTAGACTCCATGGACATTCTCTATCGTTAAATAATCATCTGCATCCTGAATAACAGTTTTTATTTACCCCTTTCATATTATGTAGCGATTGGAATATCATGTGTGAAGACAGAAATGGGGATCTCGAAGGTTTTTTTTCTCCACTCCCCCTCCCAGAGGATTTTGAATTCTCAACTCCTACACTGTAGGCAGTAGCATGGTTTAGTTTAGGATTCTCCACTTTCTGGAAAATAACACTCATCTAGCTGTTGCTTTCTACAGCTAGGAAAAGTGTCTGGTAGGAAGAAATGCTTACATGGAATATAAACTTGCCCTCTGAGTATGAGTTAATGAGCTAAAACATTGTTAATAGCTCAAAAGAATAAAAGAAAAAACCCCACAATGTTACGAAACCTTTCCCAGCAGGAAAATATTTTTCTTTCTTTCCCAAAATAACCTCCTAATGATTAAGGAAGAGTGAAGCCCTTAGCTAAATACTTAGAGTTCATGACCTTAGACACCAGGAACTGCTCCCCGATTCCCTGTAACGACAGGCGACAGGCGACAGGCGAGCACAGTCACCGGGACTGGCTTTTCTTGATCTCTAATTTTCAAGGCTAATTATTTTCCAGTTAGATCTTATTTTCCGGAAAACACAGTTGCGTCTATGTAAAATAAATCATTTTCACAAAGAAAACATTTAGGAGCTTCGTTTTCTATGTTTGGAATACCAGGGATCTCCTAGACTTAGAGAAGTTTTTCCTCATCTGCTGAAGTTTTCCTTCTTAGTAAGCAGTGAATCAAGTCAAACTCATATGTTTCTCCAGAATGGATTCATTGTTTCTTACATTTCCCACTTGCAGTTTAAACAAGTGAATGAAAGTAGTGAGTGTGGAAGGGGCCTAAAATTAAGTAAGTCCAGCACCAAAATTAAATCAGTTGGCTAAGAATAGTAAGAATAATAGTAAAAAAAAAATAAGAATATAATAATAATAATAACAAGAAGAATAAAATAGAATTATTTCGGCCTGGAAATTTTTTTCATCTAGTTCTATGCAGGGATAAATATTTATACAGCCATGTTGGTTCTTTAACTTTTTCTACTGTATTATGAGGCTTAAACATGCAGTGGTCTACTGCTGCTTTTAGTTTTCATTATCATATAATTCACAGTGATAACTAAATTAATCTAAGATGAATTGTGAAATGCTGAAATCTCATAATCACACAGGATTCTGAAAATATTTAGTAGTTGCTTTCAGTATTGAAAGCTAAAATGATGGGTCAACTTTTTTTTTTAAACAAGAGTATGTAATCCCCTCTTCTCAGGCAATGAATTTACCTTCCAAAGAACAGTACTGCAATTTTTCATATGCTTACAGAACTATTCTATCAGCATATTCAAAAATTTTAAGTAAATATTTTGTTTTTCTTTTCTGTGAAGCTAGGTTTCCAATCCAGGCCTTTTCACATGGGCAAGGACTCTGCAACTGAACTACTATCTGCCCCAGAATAAACAAAGTTACGAATCAACAAATTTTGAATTAGGTTGTATTAGTGATGTCCAAATGTACATAGTTTAACTTCTTACTAATCTTCTACACAATACTCCTAATGAAAATCATTTTACAAAATAGTGTAGTATGAAAACACTTTGTAGTAAAAATGACAGGTATAACCAAAAATGAACTTTTATTAAAAGCTCACTGTATTTTGACAAATGTTCAAATGAATCTGTTTAATAAAAGTAACGTCTTTCACTTTTAAATTATAAGAGGAAAGACCATGAAATTTTTACTTTGACATGCAAAAAGGAGAAAATCATGTTTATTTTTAATCATTTTCTGATTAAGTATATTATTAAAATTCATATGAAGAAAACACTAGACAAAAATATTGAAGGAATTTATGTTGGAACTGATTTAATATAAACTTGAAATGAAAGAGATGAGAGATCTGGTCTTGTTTTTGTCTTATAGTTTTGAAAAATACACATTCTCTCTGCCTTTTGTATAATTAAACTAGGTTACCTCCAAAATTCAGCCTTTCTAAAATTTATGAAGTAAACAGTGACTATTTAGGTCATTAAAATGGTAGTTTTTTTTCTGCAGCCAGGCTTGATGGCACATGCCTGTAATTCCAGCACTCAGGAGGCTGAGGCCGTTGGATCTCAAGTTCCAAGCCAGATTGGGATATATAGTGAGACTCTGTTTCAAAAGGAAAAGCAGAAAAAAACAGAAAGAAGAAGATAATTTCTTTAAGAAAAGTATTTAGCACACATTTGATGCATTTTTTGTTCATTTGACATTTGATTCAATTTGTTAAGACAATCTCATGGCAGTTTCCAGGAACGCTTATTCCATGTAACCACATAGGATTTGTTTTCTAGATGAAGAAGTCAGGTGTTAGGATGACCTGGGTCTGATGTGCCAGTTACCTCAAAAACTAAGTATAATGCACTGTATCAAAATGATTTCTTTTATCGATATTGTTCCTACAAGACTTTAATTCCATCATATATAATTAGTCATTTTCCTTGCTCAGTTAACTATTTTCCTGATGTTCATAAAAAACTTTTAGGAATTTAGGAAGTTTGAGATTTGTTTTCTTTTGAAATCTGTCTAAAATCAAATCAGGTTAAAAGAAAAGAATGGTGTGTTGCTTTGTTTTCATTTTTACTAAAGCTTGAATTTGTCCATGTACATAAAATACCTTCAAAGTGCAACCATCTCAAATGATATATTGTAGAATATGATTCATACTCACTAGTGACATCAGAAAGTTTTGTTGCGAGGGCAAATGATAAGGTTGTGCAAAGGTACTTCCTGTTGCCTTGTAGTCTTACCCATTCCTTTTAACCTAGTAACCCCAGCCTTGAAGTAACAGCTTCTGAACAACAGAGTTATTGCCTGTGGTAGCTGTGCTGCCAGAGGAACAGTCATGATTTCATTTCCTTCCTTTCTTGGCCTTTTTTCTTTATACTTCCTTCCCATAATTTCTCTTTAATTCAAAATTCTGCTGACAATCCATGTTTTATCCTGTTGATCTCATCATTCATTAATCCATAAAAGTCTCTTAATTATGTAATGTAAACATTTCACAAGTACTGTCTTTGTCTGCCCTTAATTGAGTTAAATATTTAGGAAGTCAAATTGTAGAGACAATTTGTCAGTTGGCATGGCAATCTCAAAGAGGAACAGAGTTTCAGGGTTGGGAAATTCATAATATAGCATTGAATTTAAGATAACTGTACAAATTACAATAAGGGATAGTAAAGTAATATTAAGTGACTTAAAAGATGCGTACTTTTGAAGTAGTGAGGCAGTAGCTATTAAAGCATGAGAAGCATTTCAAAAGGTTGAAATGAGATGGACTGGAGGGATATTTCAGGTTGAGGGATCAGAATAACTAAATTGCAGGTGGGAAAATATGATGTTATGTCAAGGATTATTTGTTGACTACAGGAAGTTTATAGGACTCATAACAATAGGGTACATTTATTAAGGCTTCTTTCAACATGCCTATTTCTGATGGGATTAAAAATGTGAAAACAGGCTCTACTCAAAAAAAAAAAAAAAAAAAAACCACCACCACCACCACCACAACAAAAGGATCTGTCCAAATCCATCATTTTATACATAGGGAAAAAGAAAACGAATTTATTTGTAGAGTAGAAGTAGCCTGTCCAAAGTTCTCAATAATGTGGAAGAGCAAAGGTTTTAAATGAGAATCATCAGGCTCCAAAATCTATCTCTACTTGTAAGGTGAAAACTAGAGCTGTTGGTTAGGACTGTGCTTTACAAGTTGCTAAATGCCATAGCAAAGTCTTTGTATTTATTTTAGTCAGAATAAAAGGATATATAGAGCACTCCATTAAATAAACACTAACTCACAGAGGGGAAATTCCAAAAGACAGACCACAACTAAATAAATAAGTAAAATATATGGTATGTTTGATGGTGTTGGGTGCTATGGAATAAAACAGATGATATGGAGGAAAACAGACTGGGGAAGGGGATAAGAAGTGCTTGCATGAGAGGAGAGGGATTTTGTAATTTTAAATAAGAGGGAAAAAAATATCTTCTCAAGAAAAAGAGGTAAGAGGCTCCACAGTTTATCCTTTGAGATCCAGGGCATATTTGAGAGGATGTGTGGGCTTCAGCCAGAAGCCCAGAGTCTTGACCTAGAATATTTTCAGGTTTGCTTCTCTGAGTCTTTATTTGCTCCCTTTCAAAATGAGGGGATTGGAGAAGATCAACAGACATTTTTGATGTTTACTATGGTCAGAGCAGGAGCACTAACCTGAGAGCCAAATTTAGGATGATTTTGGGTGCCCTTCCAGGCCAAAAAATAGAGAATTTTTACTTTGTTTTTAAAAGAATGATAATCAATTAGCATTTCGGGGTATTCTGGTGACTATGGCATCCCACACAGTATTATAAATTCAAGTTACTAATCAGAAAACAGACAAAAAATGGTTTCTGATTTGGGGTAATAACACTTGTCATTCACTGCAGAAGGAGAGAGAAGTTAGTAATGGCAATTTCTATCTCATTCGCCCTATCCTACTATGGAAAAGATTGTGCTGGTGAGATTCATTATGAGCCTGGTATAGAATAGAATTTACCTTAAAGAACTCTAGAAATTTTGTCTAGTTTCTCTCCCAGTAATGATACTAGTTAACACTTACTGGGTCTAACTATGTGCCAAGCATTATGCTAAATATTATAGTTGCACTATCAAATATTTAAACCTCATAAAAATAGGGGAGAAAATCACTAACACCTTCATCCTCCAGTAAAAATATCTGAGATCTAGAAAGAATTAAGTAAAGTATGCAAAATCAATTAGTAAAATGTCGGAACTAGAACACACTGGCTCCTAAGTCTATGCACGTAACTTTCATTCAGTTGCTGGTTATATTCACTGTGCTCTGTAATCAAAGACTGAAGTCTTAGTTCAATTTGTATTCTGGAACAAAGCCACATCATCAATGACAAGTAGACCAAAAATCTTTGCAGTACATATCTCGCCAAGATAAGTTATCTTTGTACCCACACAATAGATTTTTTAGTCCCTTGAGCAAGGGAAATATTGATAAAAATATGTCTAGCTATAAAATATGACGATAAAATTTACAGTCTTACTACTTATAAAATATAAATTTAACTATGAAACTTTGCCTACCTTTATTCTAAAGGTAGCATTTTATGAGTAATGAAAGGGAAATGAAGAAATATAAAACATTACCTATATGCTGGCATCTCAGAAAAGTAGACTCACTCATCAACCATAGTAACTCTTTTTAAGGAAGCATACAGAAAAACATAAATTTACATGTTATTATATTCCAGGTTTTATTAAAAGTTTACATTTGCAAATTTCAACATTCATGTAAATTTTTATTTATATTTGAGAAAAATTTACATTATTATTAAATTTCTAAATATTCCAGGGATTTTTTTTTTCTTTATGAAATCACACAGCCTCCTTTGAGCTCCTTGAAGGGATTTTTGTCCTCTGGGATACCCTTTACTAGTGGATCCTCACCAGATCTTTCTTCCACATAATCCCTTACTTCTTCACAACATTTGGATACCTTAAGAGGAAGAAGAAGAAGACTCATTTAGTTTGAAACAGAATAGTACAGATTCTGAGAATTTATTTATTACAATAAATGTTGTCTTGTGTCTTTTTAAATGATTCTCTCTGCTTTTGGCCAATGCATATATATAATTTACAGGACCGAAGAAGACCCCCTGGATATCTCCAAGCAGGACCCCATGCTGGACCCTCCAACTAAAGAATCTCAGCAAACCTGACTCTGCTTCTTCACAGTAGACCGTATGCAGGCATCAGAACACAGCTGGAGACAGACACCAGAATGAATGTTAAGGATGTTACCCAGCCGGGGATTTAGCTCAGTGGTTTCGCTGCCTGCCTTGCAGCGCAAGGACCTGAGTTCGATCCCCGGTACAAAAAAAAAAAAGGATGTTACCCTAGTGAATATTGAGTATACCTCTTTCCTCTCTCAAAAAATGTGACTTGCAAAGGTGGAGGGGAATAAATAATGGTTCACTTCCAGGCTTCTCATCAGTCCTGGATTCTAATAACTTTAAAAGATGCAGCTTTCCTTTAAACTCGTCTGCAGTGATGGGTCGCGCCAGCCATGAGCTCCAAGGGGTCAGGGACTTCGGCTGACTTGTTCAGTGTAACCCAGGCATCTGGAACAGAGCCTGCTGAACTGAACCATTCTTTTTGTTTATTAGCTTCTTCCTCACTCATCTGCATCATTATAGTAACGACTTAGTGAGAAAATAAAGCTTTAGTGTTTTAACGGACTCAGAGAGGCGATCTCCATTAAGTGACCATTTCATAAGTTATTGAGCCAACTTACGGATTTTTTCAGGTAAAATCTTTATAACATATAGAATATGAGTACATGTACATGTACATATATAGTATGTATGTATACAGGTTTGTGCATGCATACAAGTATGACGAAAGGATTGTGGCCCTCCAAATTTCTATGTTGCCATTCTAACCCTCAGTGTGGTGGCACGAGGAGGCAAAGCCTTGAGGAGGTGATTAGTTCATGGTTGCAGAGCCGTCGTGACTGGGATTAGGGTTCTTATGAAAGAGACACCTAGGTGCTCCCTCTCCCCTTTCTCCATGTAAGAACGCAGTGTAAACACGGTCATCTATGAAAGAGGGAGCAGACTCTTGATTTTGGACTTCCTAGTTTCCAGAACTATGAGAAAATAAAATAAATTTCTACTGTTTATAAGACCCCAGCCTATGACAATCCATCATCTAGTTAGCAGCCTAACCAGAATAAGACAATACGTTTGTATATGGGGATGTGAACAGGTGTGGGGCTAGGAATGTGTGTAGAGAGACAGAGAGAGAGAGAGAGATAGGAAGAGACAGACAGAGACAGAGAGAGCACTTTTGCAGTCTAATATGGAATTACTTTAACTTCCAGAAGTAAGGTGATGTGCAGTAATGAGGTAGAGGAACTGCTAGAGCAGCCCGGGTGTATGTGATGGTCACTCAAAATAGGAATTCCAAAATGATTTTAACCCGAAGACAAATCTCTGGCAAAACAACAACCCAGAGTATATAAATAATAAAACAACTTTTAAATATTTCAAATGAAAGGGAAAAAAACCCTTTCTTTTATGCCAAAAGTTTATTTTCCCAAAATTCTAAAGATAAGGTCTTTAAATTGTGATGTGTTTTCCAATCTTTTATGCTGGCTATAGATTTAATGTTATCTTCATAACAAAACATATTTTTCCAGCATGGAAAGGGCAGTAGGGGAGTTTAAGACAGTTATAAACACAAAAGAAGCCAATTTTGAGAGGCAGTAAGGAATTCTTAGCAAGGTATGAAAAGAATACACACTCCCTTTTTCACTTTGTACTGATAAAAAATATATCTTTCAAAATAGAAGACATGCTGTTATCATTTGTGAGGGAGGATTTGTTCTATTAACTGTCCTAAAATGAAGAGATTTAAGTACATTTGCCAAAAGTAGTCACTGGTGGAAACTCCTCATTCTTTTGTTATTTCTGTTTCTTCTAATGGCAGAGAGCTCTTGGTAAGAATTTCCAAGAACTGTCAGATTCTTTTAGGAGGAATCAGTAAGTTCTTGTCCCTGATCTTGTCTTTATTTGCAAAAGAAGAATAGAGTGTACTCATTTATTATTAACCATGGCAGTGCAGGGAAGACTAAATCATAACTTAAAGTTTGTCAACAATACCGAAATATTGCATCAAATAAAAAGGTCACCAATTTAGAAAAGTAAAAAACAAAATGCTTGTATGCATTTTTTATTTCAATGCTTAGTTAAGATATAGTGTCACATTTTCCACTTCTTTTCTTCTTTCCTTCCTTCTTTTATTTTTCCTTCCTCTTTTCTTTTTAAAATTTTTTTTTGAAAATTAAAACACTTTTTAGTTTAGTGATCATAAAAAAAGAACTGACTATAGACTGACTTTTGCATTAGGCAAAGTTTGCCAACACTTGATTTACAGTCTAAATTATGATTAATTTTCTTGATCATGGGTAAGTTTTTGTATGAACATCACACTGCTCTATAAATAAATAAATAACAAAAGACAGTCAATGTTTTCTAAGTTGGTCCTCCCACAGGCTCTCTCATTTAGTATAAAATCCAAATGAGTACAGCAACTTACCAGCATTCTCTCCAATGTCACCTCTTTCTTGAGCTGGTCAACTTCCATCTTCAATTTGTCCTTTTCTGTCAGGTCCTCGATATTGATCACTGGCATCTTTTGCCCGCTGGAGAGGTAGAACATTAGCACATATACCTGAGCTCCTGGACTCAACCTCTATTCAGTCTTATCCAACACTTCTGTCTGCTCTTAACTTACCAAATAAACTGTTCTTGGTTTTATTTTAAATTTCCTATGATAACCAATGTCTCATGAGCTTCCCCTGAACTATTCCACTACTACTGCAAACTAACCTTGGGAATTTAAAGCTTCTTCATAATCTTCACTAATATGATTAATCAAGCATTTGACTCTCAACACCTGCCAGTAGAACAGCGGGAGGGAGGGGCCCGTTTAGTCCATGCCTAATCTGAAACACTTAAAGTTTCTCCTTTCCCTTGGTCTTTTGCACAGTGTAAACTTTTGGGTTTTCAACTCTCATTTCCCATGTCAAAGACCTCCACCATAAAATTTATGCCATATATCCAAGTTTGAGGTTATTTTGAGGATTGCCAGTTAATTCCCTTAAAATGCTAGAGTTTTTAATCTGATAACAAAGAGAACTATATAAAAAACTATCATTATAAGATGCAATATGACCATAAAATGTCATTTCTTCCTGTGAAATCTATTTTAAATAATAGATTGAAGTATGAACCAATAGAATGGAAATATAGTAAACAACCTTCTTAATCAGAAATAAACTAATACATTGAAGTGTTTCTTTAAACAATATCTAGAAATTTTATGTAGCTGTCATAATGATCTGAATTAGAATGATAAGTATATCTAACAGATTAAAGGGAATATAGCCTGATCTACCAACATACATCATGTAAGACAAATAGACTCTTTCCCTTCTTAGCCATCCCTTTTTTCAGTTGGATCATGTAATGAGAACATGCTTAGTAGATGATTGCTTTCCCATGAAATTGCCAGAAAAGTGTTTATTATAGCCAAACGGTACCATGCCTCCAGGCTGTCCTTTATGACCTTTTTTTTTTTCTTTTCTGTCTCTCTAGTCCACTTTTTATAAGGAAGTATTTTTATGAAACTTGACATGCAGATCACATATATTTCAGAGAACAACTGCTACATGAAAATATATCAGCAATAAACTTAAAATTTTCCTTGTATTTGTATGGCATTTTGATTTCCAAAACCTTTGCAAATATTTTCTCTCTTTGTAGTCTTAGAATATCTAGTTCTTTTTTGGGAAAGAAGCTAATATATGATATTTTTAAGAGTGAATGGCTGCATAAGCACAGAGATGGAAAAGAATATCCCAGGGGTGCTTAAGCCCAATGTCTCCCCTGTCTTTGTTTCTACTACTCTGTCCTTAAACATACAATATGACAATAAAAAGTCATTTCTTTTTGTTTGTTTGTTTATTTGGTTTGTTTTTTGGTACCAAGGATCGAACTCAGGACCTTGCCTTGCAAGGCAGGCTTGGCACCACTGAGCTAAATCCCTAGCCCAAAAAGTCATTTCTTCCTGGACAATAATGGTTTGGTACTTGAAAGCCCATTTTCAATTTTATTTTCGTCTCATTAGACTATATATAAAACTTCACAAGCATTTTTTCAGATTGTTTTACTTGTTAATATTGTCTTTTGTACAAGTTTCCTCCAAGTCAGAAGATTTCTCATAGCAGTAGGTAATAGTTCTGACACTTTGGTGTGTGTATGAACCTCTTCAGTTTTTATAGTAATCATGGGGGTTATTAAAACCTTTACTAGAAAAAGCCATGCCTTGTTAAAATATGAGCCCAAGTGAAGAGATTTTGACTTAGTAGATCTTTCATAGGGCTTAGGATTTCACTTTTGTATTTTAGGAAGCCCTAGTGTATTACCGAGAGCAAAATGATCATTCACTGGTACTTGCTATATAGCCTTGACCAAGTTACCTAACTTGTCTGTGCCTCAGTTAGGAACAATAATATTATGTACATTGTAGATTTGTTGAGAGGCTTAAAGAGGGATAATGTAGGTGAAGAATGTTTAACAGCATGCAACACAGAACAAGCATTCATTCTGTGTTAGCAGGTGGCATTCACTCTGTGCTTACAGCACTTCAGACTGTACTTATACGACTGTTCCTGAGAGGTGACTTACAGGTGCTCATAAAGGTTTTCATGTGCATATGATATGGACACCTTTACCAACACACTTTACCGATGCTACTTTTGTCCCTCTGAGATTTCCTTTTCCAGCCTTCTGAGGTCAGCATCAGCTGCAATGACTGCCTGTCATAGACAACCTTTCGGCACAACTTGGCCTTTAGCTGTTTGGGACCATTTCACCTAGTCACACCTGGAAGATCATACTCATGTTTGACTCCCAAGGATGATCTGTACATGAGCAAATGCTGAACAACAGAGGGTCTTAACTCCCATGTGTCTGGCCTGAAAATCTTGGTTGTAATTGAGAAATTTTCAAGCTCCAAAAACTTCAGGGCAATGATAGACTTCTGAAACATCACTTTTCATAATGTCATCTCCTGCTCAGTCCTGATTTCCTCACTTCTTCAGAGGCTTTTCCCTGAGAGCTAACTCACAATAAATCACTTGGACAAGAAACCCTGTCCAAAAGCTCTCCTTCTAGAAAATCCACTCTAAGATACACTGAATTATTAAGACCTTTACAAGGATGATTAAACCTTTCATAGCTTTCATGCTGTCATGACTGCCTATTGCTCTGTACACTATTTGATATACAGAAGAGAGTCAGGAATGTTGCTAAAGTTAATTAACCCATGTCTAAAGATTCATATAAGGAAAAACTATCTAAATTTACTATTTCATCAAATGATTTTTCAATTCTAAAATACTGGGATAACAGGTATAATAATATTTAACCTTAAAACTTTTCATTTTGAGGAAATATATTCTTAGAGGATTCTAGAAAGTTTGCAAATTTGATGCCACACAGTCTGTATGCAAAAAGTCAGAGTACAATCCATTTCCACCTCCCTCAAGGACACTCAGACAACCAAAGAAGAACAGCGTACATTGTCTACAAGGATACTCCAAATGTTCAGAGATACAGTGAAGTCAATAGTTCAAAGAATTCAGACATAACATCATCTACTTTACTCTCAGTTTGCAGATGAAGCAAAGGCAGTCCAGAGTTCAAGTAACCCAAATCACACTTTAAATGGCAGTAAAAATCGAACTTATCACATGGATATTTATTTTCTAGTTTGGGGTATTTTCCATTTCAGCACAGTTCTCTCAAACTACTGTAAGAGCAGATTTTTTTTCCCCCTCTTCAAACTAGGGTAAAGGAGTGAAACTATTTTTTTCATGGCTCAGAACTACATAAAAATAAATTCAATGTTGATGACAAATGGCACTAAATCCCCTCTTTTGCCCTCATAAACTTTCAGGTAGAAAAGTCCTATTGGCTCTATTACTGACCATTCCCAGTCCACTGTCAGAGTTTAAGGGGAAGACAGATAACCCATAGTCCAAGAAGCTAAGCTGTCTGTTGCCACTCACTCAGTTTAGGAAATGTTTGCTGTTACCTTTTCTTTTACCCTACGTGTATAGTAGAAGATCTACACATCAAAGAAGCAAAGTAAAGTGGGAGAAGGAAGAATCTTAGAATTGTACCCATTGTTAGTGGTTCTCAAAGGGAGCAATACTGCCTCCTAGGGGCTATTTTTGAAAATATATCAGGCTGTTAATTTTCAAGAGTTTATAGGTGTGAATGAGGGATTCATTCGGGTATTTTGCATTTTTGCAAGACTCTGATGCATATGATAAGCTATCTCAAATTCAGCATGATTCTCAAATACCATGCCGAATACTGACATAAACAAAAACTGTATTTATAGTTATTTGAAACATGAGCCTAACTTCCTTTTACATATAAACAAAAAATATGTCTATGTCATGGTTTTTATACACATTGAATTTTACAATCATACAAATGTTCTCTAAATAAAGGGGATTTTCTGTGTCCTTGGTGAGTCTACACATTAAAAGCACTGACCATTTCATTATGAATAATCATGATGAAGACTTTCATATTGAAGCCCATCTTCATTCTCTATAGTTTGCTGCTTTCTTATTTTATGAGTAGAATTCAGGCACCGTATTGATGGTTTTTAAGGGGCTATGATGAAATACTTCTTATATAAACTAGACTCTTGATTAGATGGGATTCATAGCCATGAAGCCACAAGTAAAGGGGGAAGAAAAATACATTCCCATGATTTATCTTTGCCTTAAAACCATGATGAGTTTTTTGCCATCCAAATATGGCAAACAATGATGATATCTGTTTAAAGGATTGTTATGGTAATAGCTACTTACTGGGAAATAGCTAGACATAGCTAGTTGGTGATGTGATTTCTGTAAAATCATAAAATATTATATGTTTATATCTCAATATGTTGAGAATTCTCAAAAGAGCTTACATTGACAAAGTGTGGAAGGGAAAATCAAACATATTTAGCCATATAAGCAAGTATGGGGCAAGGAGACTCACTAAACCATGTGTTAGCGGATTTTTAAAAAAACACTTTTAAACACTTTGGGAAAATATACGAGAGGGGTAAGTATTTCTTAATGTCTTTCAGAGATTTCATTAAATTTCTTGCTAATTTATTTTAGAGTTAAAATAAGCTAGAGTAAGTCTCAAAGGCTGCCTGTTTTATCTTTGCTTTTACGTATTATACATAAGTGGGGTTTGAAGTAAGAATATCTGATAAATAAAATATTTAATTTATAAAGGGTTAGATTAGGGAGAAATTACTAAAGTGGTTGCCTGAAAATTCTTTGTTCCATAGAGAGGATTAATGACATGTTCTTTGAAATAGAAATGTTGCCAGTACACTCTGAATATTATTTAATTTATAATCATTCAGTTTGATAATTTTTTCAGAAACAAATTATGCACAATAAACTTGAAGCCATATATATATAAATTCATCCTATATTATACTTTTTAATCCTAATATTCTACTTGGGAGAATAAAAGAGTAATAGCTAGCATTTTATTCATTTACCCAACAAATAGGTTCCCAGTGCCTCTTATGTGCCAGATACAATTCTAGATGCTTAAGGGTAGAACAGAGGAAAAAAATAGCTTAAAACTTTTACCATCCAGTAACTTACATTCTAGAAATGTAAATGAACAATAACTATGTACAAAAGTAAATTATATCATCTATTCACTAGAATAACTGCTAAGGAGAAAAATAAATCAGGAAAGAACAGAAGTGTCAGAAATGTTTCATTAATCAAGAGTAGCCTGAGAAGCTCTCTCTGAAACAATGCTACTTTAAAAAGACCTGAGAACCATGAAGAAGCTG